GGGGGGGGGGAATAATAATAAAAAAATAACAAACAACATTTTATTAAAAAAAAAAAAGAAATGTTAATTAAAAAACCGGAAAAAAAGCCGGAAAAAAAGATATAATCTTTTCTTCAGCCCACATGATTATATCCGCAAAACAGAGTGCTTTCTGATACACACACACACACACATATATATATATATATATATATTAATTATAGAATATTTTCAGTGATATAGAAATAATTAAATAATCTATCAACAAGGATATTTATTTAAACTTAACAAAATAATTTTTTTTCTATACAAAAACAATAAAAGAATATATGAAAAAGTACAATATAGAAACATAATTCTAGATGTAGCTACAGGTAAATGAATATAATTTTCCTATTAACACAAATATGTATTCAAGTTAGTCATATGATACCGAATAGGAGCTTTTAGTTCTAGTCGGTCTCAATTATTAGGTTTGTACACCCTAACAAAACCCCTCACTTGATAGGGAATGTGTTTAATACTTCCTTGAAAGTAAACCTTCTGTGCATAAATATTTATTAAAAGTTATTTTTTTGCATAAAATTATCTTTGGTTCAAAATTATTTATCATATAATTGTGTGCAAAATTTTTTGAATTCTCTGACCAACCTACAGGGAACATTTTAACCAGATTGTAGCCACCCCTATATTTTGGGGGTCAGAAATCCAAATCCGTCGAAAAAAAGGTATGGTTACTCGAAAGTACGTTTTTGTATCTGATTTCATAAGTTAAAAATTAGCATATTTGAGGTCCCCTTTTTAAACCATTGAGATTGAGTCCTAGTAGGTGAAGATCCGATCATTATTAGATCATAAGTCATTCATGGTCCATTTATTTTTTTTCATACTGTAAGAAACTAGTAGCCCAATACATAATTATATAACACATAAAAATATGCATCACATAAAGATCTGCATCACTTAAAGATCTGCATCACATAAAGATCTGCATCACAAAATTAATTTTACAAAGCATGGATTTTTTTCTGAAATTTTGATAAATCTTTGCTCTAAACTTATACGAACTTATGCAGTTATACGATCTATATTTTTCTCACTAGAAAATGTTTTCGCTGAAAACTTTAAAACAAAATTCAAAAAGGAAAACAAAGCGATAAATAAGTTCACTATACATCTATACACAATGAAGATCGCAAAATAATATTTCTGTGGAGAAAAAACAAACACACTATCGAAATCTGACAAATCACTATCGAGAAGGAACCAAAATCTGTTTAATGGCCGGTTGAAACTTTAGAATTTTCAAAATGAACATCCTCCAACTCCTCTCTGTTTCTTAAAACACTTTGTACACTCGCCTCCTTATTAGTTTACTATGGATAATTAACCGTTAATATGGATAATTAACCGTTAATACGGATAATTAACCGTTAATATGGATAATTAACCGTTAATATTGATAATTAACCGTTAATATGGATAATTAACACTTTACTATTAATTTATTGATTTTCCTTCTTAATCATTAATTCACGACCCATTATTTGTATTCCTTTTTAGATTTCATTTTTGACCAGGGTTATAAAAATGTGTATTTAGGGCTATCGTAAGGAGCCTGTATACTGTTCTTATGATAGCTCTCATCATATACATTCATTAATTCGTACAAGCTTAAACATGGAGTTTTAATACAGTGAAACCTACGCAAGTTGTCAACTTGCACTGCTTTAGTGGTCATCATAGACAGGTGGTTAACTTATAAATACAGGTGGAATAAGTCACTGTTTTTTTAAATAATGCTTATATCACGTTATGCATTATGTTATTTAATATTAGTATAGATAATTATTAACGCAATTAAATCTTTTTAACATGATTTTAAAGTTTAAGTTAGTAAATATTTATATTTTGAACAAATATTAATATATTTTTTTCAGATATTTTGAGAATATGGTAATTACAGAAATAATTAAAATTCGTTATGCATATTTACTATCAAACTGATTTGTTTACGAAAACAAATATACATAATTTTGTCAGTTAGCGCATGCCAGTTATTTACTATTAAAAACTACTTAAAATACAAACACTGAAGAACATGTTCAGTTGGAATTTTATGTCATTTATATTCTTTCATTTATATTTTAATCATTTTATTTATTTTAGCATTTTAAAATATACTAGTATTTAAAAACTATTAGTCGATAATATTTTCTTATATGGGAAAATTACTAAAGAGGTTTACTTATAATTTTAATATATAACATTAAAGCAAAGAAATTTTTCTGATTAATATTTTTTTTTGGTCAACTAGTGAAGGGTTTTGAATAGAATTCGACTACATATCTAGACAAATTTGATTTATTTTAGGGGTCAACAAACAATATAGACAAGGGGATGAATTACTAAGTTTCTTCCTCCTTTTGGGTAAATTCGGGGTAAAAATATAGGGTAAATTCGGTTCTTGGTAATAGAAATCATCTTAGACAGATGGTCAACTTACAAAGGTGATCAACTTGGCAGGCCTCACTGCATTATGACTTAAACAATTTTTTTTGAAAAAGTAAATTCATTTACTTGTCTGGTAGAGTTTTCAGCTTGCTATAAGCTAGATGTAAACTGTCTATTCTAGAGTTTTGAAGTAGGATTTGCAGGCTCGTTAAATCTTCTAAGGAATTTCCAGATAAGATCAGAGATTTCAAACTGGGAATTGTACCGTAGGATTGAGGTATGGATTTCAAGGAATTATAGGATAAATTAAGAATTTCCAAACTAAAAAAGAAAGAAATAGTTTTAAAATATGTCTCAAGCAAAACAAATAAATAATATAAAGACGTTTTACATATTACGATTTAGAAATTAGTCTGATGCTCTTATTCCTTAGATAAAAAAAAAATTTAGTTTGGTTCTCACAGTTTATTTAATACAGTTTACTTTGATATAGTAAGTCTAAGTATAATTCGCAGTATAATTCAAAGTAATATATAATATAATTCAATAAATAGTTCTTAGTAATTCTAAGAATATTTAAGGCACACACGAATTAGACAATATATGGTGAAATTAGACACTTTATCATCATCAAAATTTATCTGGTCGCCTTAGGCCGTTTACTGCCTTTTCCCCATCCATTTTGAGGTTCTAAATTTAAGGTGGTACTTTCTGGAAACTGAAAGGCAAATTCGTGTGAAATGAAAATTAAATATTTTATATTCTGGATAAAGAGGCGTCGCAACAAAAATAAGCAGCCACTGTCCTGAGGTTTGTGTCCCTCAGTGGACTGATTGTAAAAACACGGTTCCCAGTAGAAAACCAAAGTCAAGCATCACTGGCTGTTGTCAGTAAACGGGTGGATGACCACTTTGATCAGTCTGCGTAGGGACCGAGGATGCATTGTATCGGTGCTCGTTAAACTGTCCTGCCGTAAAGTACTCGACTTTGAGCGCAGGACGTCGGGCTACCAAAGCAGGGGAGCCATCCTCTCTGCAGAGGATCAAAATTGCGATGGCACGTCTCTGAATCATCCTCAGGGATGTTTCCCAGAGCGTCGCCAATAGCCCATTGTGCAGCTCTAGTGCGACGTAAATAAAATATCTATCGATCTTTCAGTTTTTCAATAGTAAAAATTTTCATTAAATCCTGCGGTGTAACTTGTAGTTCACTGTTCCTTTTTTAAAAGGAGCATGAAAGTTAAAAGCAAATTAATTTTTTAGTATCTAATTTAAGCATTTCATAAGCTTTTGTAACACTTTTCAGAACGCGATCCGTCCTTTAATATAAAATAATACGAAATAAATTTTTCTAATCATTTATTTAATAGTAACTCATGCACGGTGCCCTGTGGCGCACTTTGTTAGTGCGTGGTACTTATACGTCAGTACTTGTGGGCGATGCCATCGTTGTGAGGTCGATCCTTACCTAGGGAACGTTATTTTATTCTAAGAAGGTGGTAATAACTTCTTTTTGTTTTATTTTTCAATTCGAAAAAGGTAATGACATTCACTGTTTTCTTTGTAAAAGGCGCATGAACTTTATCAAAATCAACTTCATTTTTAGTAACTAACTTATACATTGTAAAATTAAATCTTACCAAGGAAATGCCCAAAAGAAGTTTTCTGGTAATTTGCAAAGTTGGTTGAACTGTAAACAAAGGAGCTTAATATGGCACTGTACAGATAAACTGGGAAGATTAGTTAGATAATTATGATTTAATTTTAAATTAACGAGGCTGAAGAACCTAAACAACCTGAAAAAAAAAACAGTTCTATCAGAATATTCAAATAACTATACAATCAACAAATGATACGTAGTTTCCTTTGATTTTAAGAAATAAATATAATTTTTTTTTTTTTTTTTTTTTTTTTTTTTTTTTTTTTTTACAAAAGAAAAATATTATCGATGCCAAATTATTCGACGAAATTTCGCACAATTTTTTCTTTTTTCGTTTAAAATTACTAAGTTTAAATTTAAGTAAAAATCTGTATACTTTACAATTTAAAGTTGTTTGATCATTATTAAAAAAATAGTAAGTAGTTATAAAAAACTATATATTTTTTAAAAAAATGAATTTTAGGATAAAGGAAGTTTGTAATTGCGTACATAAAGTTTGCAATTCACATCAAATATTACAAAAAAGAAAGAAAAAAGATGTTAAAGGCCTTTAAATGCTCTCCAATGGGCCATAGTCGCTAACTATCGTCGGAATATATTTTCGAGATTGAAATAATGCTATGTCCCTCATAATTTAATAATCAAGAATCAGAATTCGTTACTACAAAAGTCTATTAATAGATATTACTTTATTTTGTCGGATTCCCTAACTTTATTAATTGTTAGCATTAATTAATCAGCTTATTGAAGGTTTCTTGTTTTTACCATTAAGAACGACTCTTAGTTTGTGAATTTCTGATCATTAGAATAAAAGTTCTTTTAAGTGATAACTTTGTACTTTTTTTAGGCTCACTGCACTTCCGTGATAAATAACATAAAACTGATACAATCAGCATACAACTCATTTATAGCATAAAAACTTTCAAACACAAAGTAATGAAAAAAAAGAATATATATATTTAATTGAGTTTTAATTATTTTCTCTCATAACAGTTGAATAGCTTTGTGGAAGAAAAATCCATACGATATTTTTTCAAAAAACAAAAAATGTTCCTGGAAAAAATTTTTCAGTCATACTTAATTATACAATACTCTTTAAATTTCAGTAGTGTAATAAGCCTTTGATGTGTAATTTCTATTAAACATATCTATCACACTTTTTTCATTATTTTGTATTAAATAAAGTCAAAATAATATTCTTAGCACTTTAATAATTTAGGGTAATACAATATGAAACACTGGTGTCTTTTTCTGCGTTAAAGTCTTCCAAACACGGCTCACTTCCAAACAATAATTTCTTAAATTTACAATTATTTGCAAGAGTTTAGATCTAAGAATTAATTATCATTTAGTAATCAGAAATTTCTTAAATTTACAAAATCAATTATTGATAAATTGTTTGATATGATTGAAAAAATAATTTTAAAACTCCTTTTTTCGGATTTTATATTTTCGTACAAATATTGCTTTTATATTTTAGTAGAAAAGAATTCGTATTTCAATACCAATATTGCTTTTATATTTTAGTACAAATATTGATTTTATATTTTAGTACAAATATTGATTTTATATTTTAGCACAAATATTGCTTTTATATTTTAGTACAAATATTGATTTTATATTTCAGTACAAAAGATTTCGCATTTTAATACCAATATTGCTTTTATATTTTAGTACGGATTTTATATTTTATATTTATCCAGATTTTATAATTTAGTACGAAATTTCTATAAACTAAGAGATTTTTTTAGAAACTATTGGACTTTTTTTTTATGATTAAAAAGTACCAAAATATATTTTTTACTTTTAATGAGAGTGTCAGAAAAAAATATGTAAAAGTGACACCAATGTCCCATTCGTGTCAAAGGGTTAAACGATAATAAAGAGAAAGATATAACGCGAACAGTTTAAATGAGTTTAAGGGTTCCATTGATTTTGTCAATTGAAAGTCATCGAACGGTCTTAGAAAAGCATTATCTTTATTTCCAGGAAAGGCCTTTAAAGGTAATTTATTTAAATTTACTAAAATGTCACTTATACCTTTCATCCACAAAACTATTATATACATTTATCATATTACATGAACATCATATAAGAAATAGAATAGCAATTCAACTTACTCGCCAGGAACATCTGAAAGCCGATTTTGCTCTGCAAATAGGTTTCGCAAAGATTTAGCTTCGCATATCCACTCCGGCAACAGGCGAAAATTATTTCTACCAAAATAAAGAGTTCGCAATTGTTATGAACAATATATAACTTAATGTTCTAAGTGAAACGAATCCAATAAAATACTCTACTTCATGAACACATCGTTTTATGTAAAAGCTCAATAATTTCAATAATAACATGTTTTAGTTCCTTAAATATTTTATCAAACTGTTTTTCAAGTATTTTTTTACATTGTTTGAAAAATTACTTCATTACAGTACTGTATCAAATATTAATCATAAAAAAAAAGAAAAACAATATCTTTTGGGCACGCTATCAAAAATGAAAATTTTCGAACAATTTTGACACCTGCATTATCATATCATCGTATGATGTTAGGGAAATCATCTGGACAAATTAATCAGAAATGCTGAGTAGCACAGAGAAACTGGAAATTTTGAAATAACGTAAATTGCACCAATAAGTGTAGGAAAAAAACATTTTTTAATGCATATGTATACAGTATGCCATTTATGGCATATGTGTTCTTATGTTTTCTTGTCCTTAACTTTCTACTTCTTAAAGATGACATAGGAAAGATGTTTTCTTTGTCCGCGTCCACATTCTAATAATATGTAATGAAAACTTTGAAATGCTTGGAGTAGCACATCTTTCTTGTGTTTTTTAAGAAGTCAAGAGACAAAATTTGACATTTCATTATGAAAACATAAATGGCATACTGTAAATATGTACATTTTCCCCCAACGTTTATTTGTAAAAAAAATGTATCTTCAAAATTTCTCGTTTTCCTTGGCGACCCTTGTCTGCGCCAAATATTACTAGCCAATTTTATACTTGTTTCGGCAAATGGAATAACATTGGATTCTAAACTAACCTATGAAAGGCCTCGAGTTTTTTGGCACTATGTTGTGAGTTTTTGGACTATTGTTTAAGGAATTATACGACAATAAAGTAAGGGTTGTTTTATAAAAAAAAAGCATTTTACTTTTATTGATAAATATTTAATCTTTTGCTAACAAACATTAATTAATGATTTTTGAATTAATAAGTAAACATGATTCACAGTTCAATATTTAAGAGACAAGAAATTTTAATTGTTATTATTTAGAAAAAAAACTAAATCTTTATTTCGCTTTTTATGTAATTTCACAAGCACATTAACTCGGCATTTTCAAGAAGCAAGTATTTAAAATGCGTTAAAATTTTAAGACTTAATGAATTTAGCTTCTTCATGATCAAATCCAAAACTTTCCCAAGTATTTTCCTTTTATAAAATAGAATAAAATATCACAATACTAGATTGTGATAGAAAGCGCAACTAAAATAACAATACACTCAGCATAAAAAGAATGAAGATTTTATATCCATTAGAACCAACATTTCATAACAACAAATGAAATACAAAGTAAATAACTGAAGCATATTGAATCCCTTTCACAACACTTCTTAATACATCTCAAATGCCATTAAAAAGTAATTACACAAAACAATAATCTTACAAAGTATAAAAGAATCCGAATTGACCTTACAATAGAATGACAATTACATTGTCAAATAATAAGCTGGAATTAAAATGACAATTGATAACATAAAGTTTATTGGACATTACAATCAAAATTTATGCTCCTTTTTGCAATAGGATAAAAGCTCATATTTCACTGAAGGGATTAAAACTGTCATGCCACAATAAATTCGTGACACAAGAATTAGTAGCAGTCAAATAAATGATAAATGTGTAGGCATGCTTAATAAGCAATGAAACATCTGAGGACAGAATCATTAATTATTTGTCGCATAATTTAATAATGGTTTAGATTTAATCACATATTAATATCAACGCATTAGGAAATGAGAAATAATGTTTTAAAGATGTAATTAATTATAATACATTAAAACAATGCTGCTCAAAGACAATAGAAATAAATATATTAATTAATACTTTAACTTTATTATGGGGATTAAGAAATTGTATCTTTTCATTTAACTGTATAGAGATCATATACTTCAAACATAAGTAATTAATAAAAGTTAAATTTAATTCTTAAGTAACTATATTTAGTGTATTAAAAATATCATCTTATAATATCATCTTAAAAATAACTGTAACGAGATCATCTATACCCATCTCAATTTCATTTATTATTTTATTTATAAAATTTTTCTATACATATGTACCCCGATAGCAGAAACTATCCAATATGGCAGATTATTATAGCATCTGTAGATTACTATAAAATTTGAAAGATTACTTTTCATTTAAGTTTTTTTTTAGCAGGCAAACAAATGAGTAAAATTGCTGAATCTCCTTTTTAAAACATTTCTAAATTTGTTTTTAATAAAAATTAAAAATCTGGATTGAGAGAATGCAACAAAGAACAAAATGTAAAGAGTTTTTTTTTCTCTGTTACTTGATTACAGACTTTTACTATAAAGAGATTCATTTTTTACCATCAATGTATAAAATTCTACTTTAAACATCATAAAGTTTTTATGTATAATTTTATTATAATTTTCATTTGCAAATTTTGCTGCATGCCTGTCTGATTAAGCTGAAATTTTACAACAATAATCTGACTGCGCTGAGGTTGAAGATAAATTAGGATCTGTGAAGATAGTGCTGCAGATTCACTGCCCTAATTCTGCTCGGATATATGTTTTGAAAGTTTAACCACCAAGTAGAGATCGAAATTTTCACAATTTTCGCATGTTTTAGTCTACAAATTACATGATCAAATGAAACTAGTATATGTCCAAACGATTTTTGTTTTATTGCAATCGATTAAAACATGTGAATGTATTATTAGTTCGTCAAAATATACCATTAACAACATTATACCCAAAACTGTTAGAAATTTCTCGGAAAAAATGGTCAAATAACAATTTATTGAATGATTATTTTACCATATTTAATCCAAAACAGTCAAATAACCATAAATTAAATGGCAACCAAACTGTTAATTTTGAGAAAAACTGTTTATTAACTGTTTTCACCTAATAAGGTTAAACAACCAGAATTTCCTCGCTCCAATTAGAACCACCTAATGAAGCTACTTAGTTCTCATGGAATGGCGTACATATCATAGCCGAGCTGGCTTATCTGTCAATCTCATGATCGGCTGAACTGGAGTTCGAGTCCTAGTGTTGACACCACAATATTTCCTCCATTCCCTTCACCACATGAAGAATTTCCAGTGTCCGGCACTCTCTAATAACCATTACCTTACGAAAAACCGAGCTCCTGTGTCTAGTTAGATAATAATTTTTTTTTCCGTTTTTGAAAAATGCTAGTTGTAAATGGTTAAGAAACCGTACAGTTTTGTATTCATGGTTTTATAACCACACTTTTTGTAAATGGTTTCAAATCCATAAAGGAAAAAAGTGTTCTTTACCGTAAACTTTACGGTTAATCGGATGGACAGACAGCTGCCAGTTATTTAACCATAATTTCAGAATGAAAATTTTAACAGTGTATAATGCATCAAAACTTTTATTTTAAGAGTAAAATATTAGTAACAAAGAATTAATACGTATTATTAATAAAGTATTAAAGCATGAATCGAATAAATGCACAGCATTATTAACAAAGGATTAATGCTATTAAGCTTAGTGTCGTAATTTAAAAGCTTAATATTAAAAGCTTAGTGCCGTAATTTCTTGTACTAAAAATATCGTCTAAGTATCTAACTTCATTTTAGGTTAACTGTAAGGACTAAGTTTCGATCAATAAGAATGGGTGTTTCTCGAAATTTTGTCACTGTAACTGTGGGAGCTATGCAATCATTTTTAACATCACTCTAGGGAAAAGTGACCACACGTCCCGATTTTGGCAGGACAGTCCCGCTTTTTGGTGGACTGTCCTGCGTCCCGCCGATTTTTAAAAATGTCCCGCTTTTTAGAAAATATCTTCATTTCTTATTTTAAATGTACTGTAAAAATATATTCCTATTATTTATTAAGTATTATGGTGAATATAAAGAAATAAAAAATACATAAAAAACACATAAAATGCGTGCAGAGTAAACTAAATTAGGCAATGTACCAAGTTAGATTTACTCGGTGGTGTGCGATCATTGTCTTTACGTCTCGGCTTAATTCAGATAAGTGCGGACTGCCGTTAGACAGTGCGGTTTGTTGTTTTCAATTTGACGTTCGGTTTGACTCATTATTTGATTGACAAAGGTTGAGCAATAGTCGCCACAAAGTAACGGTCAATAAGGTAAAATTTAATACTCTTTTTTAGCCTTTGTAATAATTTTTTTATTTATTTCTAGTATTTACCCACAAAATAAAAGATGAGTAAAAAAAGAGGATGCAAATTTAATGAAGAGCTAAGCAGAGAATTTCCATTTATTAAAAGTACCAAAATAGACTATATGGTACGGTGTGATAAACGCAATGCTGAATTTTCGGTCTCACATGGTGGAAAAAACGATATTACTAAACATCTAGCGACAAAGAGGCACAAAAGATTTTTTAATAATGCCGCTTCCTCATCTAAAATGGAACAGTTTTTTCGCAGTGCTAGCTTTAGCAACACGGAAAAACAGCTAGCATTAGCGGAAGGGCTATTTGCTTTCCGCACCATAAACCACAATCAAAGTTTCAGATCAATGGATTGTACGTCGCAAGTGATCAAAACATTATACGACAAAAAATATGCATGTGCAAGGACAAAAACCGAAGCAATTATTTGTAATGTTTTTTCACCATATTCGTTTTCACAATTGCAGAAAGAATTAGAAAAATGCGCATTTATATCCATATATTCTGATGCTTCCAACCACAAAGATTTAAAATTATTTCCCACAGGTGTTAGATTTTTTGATCCAGAAACAGGAATTAAAATTAGAATATTAGATTTTGTTTCATTGCCTGATGAAACTTCACAAATAATTTTTGATTTATTAAGTACTATTTTAAAAAAGAATAATTTAAACAATAAAATTATTGCCCAGTGTGCTGATAACACTAACGTAAATTTTGGAGGGAAAGCTAGAAGAGGCATCAATAACGTTTTTACGAAACTTAACGAACATTTGAAGCAAAATAATTTTGGAGTAGGTTGTGCAACGCACATTCTATACCTATACTATTCAAACAGCATCTGAGTTACTTCCAGTTGATAGTCCAGTTGATTTTTAAACATTTATTCGTATTTTTATATATATATTGTGCGTGTTGAAAGTTTGACTAAATTGTAATTCTCATTTCATCCCATTTGTCCCGCTTTGTTTCAATAAAAATGTGGTCACTTTACTCTAGAGCGCATTGATCATAATACCTATCTACAAAATTTTATTCCGTTCTCTCCAACGGTATGCTCTGCAGTGTAAGTCGGTTAATTATCGGTATAAGTTATTTATAATCCCCCTGTAGTTTTCTCTATGCATTGTAAGATTAAACTTGCTTCCTATTATACAGTATTTTCCCTAGTGATATTTTTCTGATATTGAGAGAAGAAGTGTCTGTTAACAATGAAAAATTTAATAAATAAAAATGAACTAGTTTTAATTAATTACATAGTTAAAATATGCTATCGCTGTTGTTTCATCTATCAATTTTAGGTTTTAGAAACAAAATTTAAACAATCTATTAAACAAGTACTTACAGAGAAATATCTAAATGCTCTAACTGCAAAGGAGCTAATTTGCAGACTATTTCATCCAATTCTACAAAGGTGAAAAACAATTATAAGTAAGTATTTTTTACAGAAAATCATTACAACACAACACTTAATATGAAAAAAAAAAAGCTTTCACAACGCTTTATTGATGGCAATATTTAGAAAAAGGTTTATTGTTATAAAAAAAAAAACTACAAATAAATAGGTTTATTAGCACTCGATTGTTTAGGTACCATACAAACCACTAAAGCCTCAGACGGTCAACAAGAATTCAAGATGTTTCTAACGCCTTATACTTTTCAGGACGAAATGGGAGCTCTTTATACGAACTGGTCAGTCATCGTTGGGATTTGAACCAGGATCTTCACATTGGGGTCATTCGAATCCCGCAGTCTACTTGGCTCGGATTTTAATTGACAAAGTTACCAATGTAGTTTCATGGAAGAAATGATTGAAGGTTCCTACGAGCTGTCTATGATCTTAGTCAAAAAACTTCGGTTCACGTTTCTCCTCAATCTTAAACTTCGTAAACCCTTCATTTTTGTATTTAATTTCGGAAAATTAAAATCACAAAAATCTTAAATCCAAAATTGCCCACTTACCATCAAAGATATTTGAAGGGCTTGGGGCAATATAGTGATAAACCACATTTTCTTTTCCAAAAGAAACATTTTTACATCAAATTATTCTTTTATATTAACAGGAAAAGTACATGACAAGTTTCTGCAATTTTCACTAGATATCAACAGAAATATATTATTGCCTACATCGTGTTGCTTATTTTCTGATATCAATAATCGTATTGGTTAAAATCTGAAAAAGACACCAGTCTCGCTCACAATGCCGTTTCCGTTGACTTTCAGCAGCTTTCTCTCTTAAAAAAAAAATAATAAAAAAAATAAATAAATAAATAAATAAAAAAAACCTCGAGAATGTGGCTTATCATCATATTACCCCAAATAGTTCATTTCATGTCACGTGATCGAACGGATAGTTTGAAAGAACTCATAAATAACAACAATATCTCAAAAACGATATTAAGTAAAATAAACAAACGCGATATATCCATACAAAATCAATTCGTATTGTTACGTATAAATTAAACTTCTCACAAACTCTTCCGAGGTAATAACTAAATACCTTATCTATTCCAAGACATCGGAAACAAAATGGTCGTATAATCTAAAAAAGACATCACCAAGTCTTGTTCACCATACCGTTTCCGTTGACTTTCAGCAGTCGCAGTTTAGCTCCGTTGAGGTTCAGCGCTTTCAGGGCATTATGGTCAGCTATCAGCGTCTCCAGCTTCTGCAATTTCGATGCATCGATCCCATCCAGATCGTTGTGCGATGCATCTAGATGAGACAGATTCTGCAAATAAGAAAATCGTGATGTATTATTTCATGAAGTATAGGATCGCTGAAACTATTATGTGCAATTTGAATACATATATGTTTGCTGTTTATGTGGTAATTTATGTTATCATAGAGAGAAGTTATAGGGATAAAACAGAGTATAAACATTTCCTGTCTTTTGCTGGGGTTAAAGTTGACTGACAAAAAGGAAAGATATATACTGAGTATCATAAAAGCTCGTGAAGTAGCTTCAGATATTGTCAGTCATTTTAATAATTGTTATATCGTTTTAGTGATGAGCAGGAAAAATGGCTATACAAAGTTGTTATCAGTTGTTATAAGTCAATGATGTTCGGATGACTGACTTTGAATTTTAAACATGGTATTTGAAGAGTGAACTGATTAAAAAAAAATCATAAATTAAAATACAAATTTTGCAAATATCATAAAGAATAAGTATTTACTTTATTGTTTAATAATTATTTAATATACATAATATTTATTCTTAATTTGCATTATTTTAGCCTCTGTGATAAAATATGCATTTTTACTCGATCTGATTTGTTTATTTATTTACTTGTATGTGTAACATAAGATGTGTAGTTTCTCTAGAGTAAGAATTCCCCTAGTCATTCGCCTGAACTCATGATGACGACTATGGTAAGGAGGTATAACTATTTCAAGTAGGGGTGTGAGGTCATTGCTTAGGGCAGGTTTGGCTGGGGTCAGTGAGAGAATGGTCTATTGTGTTAGCCCTAGAGAGAAGAGAAGCTACCCTCCCTGAAATACGCTATTCTTGTTTCCATAGCAACAGTCGGCCTCAAACTATGTGACGGGGAGAGTTCCTGCCATAGACAAACTATAACTTCCCCGTCACCCCCTCTACAAAAAAAGGGTATTCAGAGTAAATTTAGGACTCTTCGCCATGACAAACCCTCAGCAGGGAAGGTGCGGACACCAATGACCAGGCAAAACTCCCTCGTGGCATTTATTAAAACTAAAAATTACTCATGACACGGTGATAGACAATTTTCATATTTTTTTTACAGTCATGACTTGTTTCAATCGCTTGTTATAAATTTCTTATTTATACTCTTCATTCATATGATCCTTAGTATGATACTATTTTCAATAGCAAAATTAGCTATATTTAGAGTTACCGCTCTCTAATTTTGTTAGAGAGTTACGACATAAGGGTAACATTTTCTGATTAGTCGAGAGTCAAAATTTACCGAAATAGAAAGCAACAAATTTTTTTTCGCAGACTTAGCAGAGTGATGAACTAGGTTATTTTATTTGGCAGAATATCATAATTTTCGGAAAGCATTCTTTTCATTTGCCTTTAAAATTAATCTTAACTGTTCAAAGTATCTATCATGCACAAATATAATATTAAACATAATTTATTTTATGAAATAATTAGGTTATAAAAATTATGATACCTCTACTTGTCACTTTTTTCAAGTTATTATATGGCGAATAAATTGTGAAGTTTTTGATAAAAAGTTAGTTTTCTTGCTAAGAAATTATTTCTAGTTGAAAATTTTTCTAATAAACTAAAAATAAGTTATGTTTTCATATTTAAAAAGCGCTAAATCCAGAATACATCAACAATTTGCTGTGCTCTGGCTTAGTTTCTTTTCTATTACTGGGAAAAGAAAAACGAAACACAACGTAACTAAATACTGATACCATAGCAACAAAGAAAATTTTAAAATGGCTGCTGTTTATTCATTTTACAATTAAAATTAATTATGGCTATTCAACCTTGTTTATGGATTTTATTTATCAATGTCTTGCTAGGTTATGATTTTTTCATTGCGGAAATATTAGCTTTTACTAGTAATTGTACCTTTTTTTTATAGAAATGTAAGTTGGTTATTTAATGATTACATACAATACTTGATTTTAATGTATATTTACTTACTTAAAATCCTTCTTAAAAATTAAGTTATAAAACTATACATAGTAGGGGGGGGCCTCAAATTCATCTTTAAGTGAAAGCACGAACAATAATGTCATAAAGATAAGGCGAATCACTATTGAGGAAGGGAGATTAAAATACCTCAAAACAGTTAGGTGGCCCGATGAAGCCTGAAGGATTTTAATAGTCGCTTTTCACCTTTTCTTCGATCAGCCTAGCAATCAAGCAGATTGTGACGCTTTATTATTGGCTTACTCGTTAAGATTCGTTTTCTATGCTTAAATATTAATTTGCGTACGTAACATATATAATGCGTTCGTTTTCGACAAGGATCTGAGAATATTAAAAAATGCTCATTACGGAACATCCTGTATAAAGAGCGTATTTTTTCTGGATTAAATATTAATATGTGTCCGATATTCCATATGTTTTTTTACTTCATTTTTGTCAAAGATCTGAGAAAAATATATTAAAAACATTCATTACAAAACATCCTGTATAAAGGACTTATTTTTTTTCTGAATTAAGTATTAATGCTTGCCAGATATTCCGTATTGTTTTTTACTTTATTTCTGACAAAGATCTGAGAAAAATATGTTAAAAACGTTCATTACGAAACATCCTGTATGAAGGACTTATTTTTTCTGAATTAAATATAAATGTACGCCCGATATTCCGTATGTTTTTTTACTTCATTTTTGACAAAGATCTGAGATAATTATATTAAAAACGTTCATTACGAAACATCCTGTATGAAGGACTTATTTTTTCTGAATTAAATATAAATGTACGCCCGATATTCCGTATGTTTTTTTACTTCATTTTTGACAAAGATCTGAGATAATTATATTAAAAACGTTCATTACGAAACATCCTGTATAAAGGACTTATTTTTTCTGAATTAAANGATATATTTATTTATTTACTTGTATGTGTAACATAAGATGTATAGTTTGTCTAGAGTAAGAATTCCCCTAGTTATTCGTCTGAACTCATGGTGACGACTATGGTAATGAGGTATAACTATTTCAAGTAAGGGTGTGAGGTCATTGCTTAGGGCAGGTCTGACTAGGGTCAGCAAAATAAAGGGAATCTTTTTTTCTTTTCTTTTCTTGTCTGTTGCGTTAGCCTGTAGACAGCCTCAGACTTTGCGACGGGGGGAGTTCTTACTGTAGACAAGTTATAACTCCCTCGTCACCCCCTTCGAGTAAAAATGAATATTCAGGGTAAATTTAGGACTCTTCGCTATGACAGACCTTCAGGAGAGAAGGTGCAGGCACCTACCGGGACAAGGCAGCCAATTGATAAGAAATAAGTATGTTAAACTTACATAGTTAAAAGAGATAAAACAATCTAATAAATAGCTTGAGTTCATGATACCAAAAATTGCTCACATAGTTAATCAAAAGCTGAAAGTTCACAGTTTATATTCTTCGTGAAGTTCAGTAAGTCAATACATTCCTTCATAGGAATTAAAGGTACTAAAAGTCAACATTATATTAAAACCTTGCATTGTTACATAGTATGACTAGCTCATGTGGGTTTTGTTGTCATGTTTAACTTTGCCATGTAGATTTTTATCTTTGTAGCTTTCATCATGCGAATTAATACAAAATTTTTAAAACTACTATAGAAATAAGAACGTTATCAAATGAACTTACTTTTTCTGCGTATTTTAATTACTTTATTTAATAAGGTCTGCAAAAAACTCACTACACCTTAAAGTGATCACTTCTCCATCATATAATATACAGAATGTTCAGTAATCCCATCTCCTATATATTTATTTACTTAAAATCCTTCTTAACTATACATAGTAGGGGACCACAAATTCATTTTTAAGGGAAGATACAAACAATAATGTTATAAGGATAAGGCAAATCACTATTGAGGAAGGGAAATTAAAACAACTCTAAACAGTCAGGTGGCCCGATGAAGTCTGAAAGATTTTAATAATCGCCTTTCATCTTTTCTTAGATCTGCCTAGCAATCAAGCAGATTGTGACGCTTTATTATTAGCTTACTCGTTAAGATTCGTTTTCTAAGCTTAAATATTAATTTGCGTACGTAACATATATAATGCGTTCGTTTTCGACAAGGATCTGAGAATATTAAAAAATGTTCATTACGGAACATTCTGTATTAAGGGCTTATTTTTTCTGGATAAAATATTAATATGTGTTCTATATTCCGCATGTTTTTTTACTTCATTTTTGACAAAGATCTGAGAAAAATATATTAAAAACGTTCATTACGGAACATCCTGTATAAAGGACTTATTTTTTCTAGGCTTAAATATTAATGTACGCCCAATATTCCGTATGTTTTTTTTACTTTATTTGTGACAAAGATCTGAGAAAAATATATTAAAAACGTTCATTACGGAACATCCTGTATAAAGGACTTATTTTTTCTAGGCTTAAATATTAATGTACGCCCAATATTCCGTATGTTTTTTTTTACTTCATTTTTGACAAAGATCTGAGAAAAATATATTAAAAACGTTCATTACGGAACATCCTGTATAAAGGACTTATTTTTTCTAGGCTTAAATATTAATGTTCTTTACTTCATTTTTGACAAAGATCGGAGAAAAATATATTAAAAACGTTCATCACCGAACGTCCTGTATAAAGGGCTTTTTTTTCTAGGCTTAAATATTAATGTGCACCCGCTATTCAGTATGTTTTTTACCTCATTTTATACATGGATCTGAGACACATATATTAAAAGCGTCCAATACGGAACATCCTGTATAAAAGGCTTATTTTTCGTAGGCTTTAAGATTAATTTGTGACCCATATTAGTTACGTTTTTTACTTCCTTTTTGCCAATGATTTTATAAATACACATGAAAAACGTTCATTACAGAACGTCCTGTATTAAGGGCTTTATTCAAATTTTAGATCATGAGTCACCAATGTATGAAATCTCATAGTTTTTTTACAAACGAAATCGTAAATATTAAAATGGGTTTACTATACGTACAAAATGTGTCACATTAAAATAAATAATAATAATAATAATAATAATAACTGGCATTCACATGTAACTGTCAATTTTAAATTAATTTGTGAAATTAAACTATCAAA